GGGGTGCACTGACCCAGGTCTGGGTGCGGGATTCTGCGGGATCCTGCAGGATCCTGCAGGATCCTGCAGGATCTTGCAGGACTCTGCGAAGCCCGACCGACCCAGGTCTGGATTGACCCGGGTCACTAGATCCCCGACTCTCGCTGTCGGATTTTCTACGCCTCGACGCTGCGCGAGAGGCCGCGGCGCATTTGTGTGCCCCCCCTTCCGCGAGAGGCGGCGGGGCGGTTCCTGATCGTGGCGCCCCTCGCCGCGCCCGGGGAGCCGCTGGCCGTTGAGTCGGGTCGGCGGCGGCACCGCGACCGCTTCGGCAACCAGGCCCCCGGGCGAGTCCAGGACTGGGACAAATCGCTCGAATGGGTACCATCAACATTGGTACGGAAAGAAAGGGTGCGAAGATCTAGGCCTCCTATATGTGGTCGGAGTAAATGGGGTCGGAGGATCGCGCCGCATCGCCGATGCATCGGCGATGCGGCTCGATGCAGAGCTCGATTTTCCCCTCGCCGACGTCGCGGATGCGTCACCGACGTCGCCGATGTATCGCCGATGCATCGGCGATACATCGGTGATGCATTGCCGATGTATCGGCGACGTGGCGCGATCTTCCGACCTCATCTACTCGCACCCCATCTAGGAGGCCTGTAGAAGACCGACAGCATTTCTTCAGACACAAGGGCCACCTGCCCAACAGCGGCCGCTGTCAGTTTTGGACAGCAGTTGTTGTTGGGCATCAAGCCAACGATTTCCGTACCCATTTCGGGTGCCCGATTCGAAGGACAACATATCCAGAGCATAATCTTGGATCTTCACTGGGCCCCTTGGCTGCGCCTCCAGCGCCACCCCTGGCGCGCTCCGCACGCCAGGGAGAGGGGGGGGGGCTGCAGCGTAGATCCAAGAAATCCGTGCGGACCTCCAACGTCTATGTGTTTGGTAGTTTTTGCCGCCTCCCCCTTAAATCAGGAGCGAAACAAGGACGTACACGTACATGAATATACGTTGGTTTCGAGAGTACGCGTTGCGCTAACGTTCGTATCACGCGGCTGGTCCCGTGGATGGGGGGGCGCGTTCATGTACCTGGTTAGGGGAGTACGTTTTTAATGGGTTCCCTAACTGTTCTGGAACGCTCTCAGAGCCAGAGCGTTCCCCAGAGAGTGTCGGAGCGGACGCGGCGCCCGATGGATCCTGCAGAATCGCTGGGTCCCAGAGGTCGCCGACTCATCCCGGTCGGTTCTGTCCGGGTCATGGTCGAGGCTCAAGGGGCGGGGTCAATGCAAACGGGGGTCAGCCAGAGCGCTGGATTTTGCAGGATCTTGCAGAGCCAGGGCTGCATTGACCCGGGCTTGCGCGCAGGATCTCGCAGGATCCTGCAGGACCTTGCAGGATCTTGCATGACCTGACTGGCCCAGGCTTTGCATTGACCCGGATCAGTAGATCCCGGTCTTGGCCTCGTCCGAAGGCCCCATACGTCGAGGAGTTCCATTGCGAGCGCACTTGGCGTGCGTTTGTGTCGGTGTGCCGCGAGCTGGGCCCGGGGCTGGTCGACTTCTCGCGGCTATGCGTCACGGGGTACTCGATGGGGGGCTATTCCGCCTGGAAGCTGGCATTCCGCTACGGCTCCCTGCTGTCGGCCGTGGCGCCGATGGCGAGCTACATGTTCTGGCCAGAGGACGCGGACGAGCGCGGCGCCGCGGACCACTGCGCCGAGCTCGGCTCTCTGCCCATCTGCTGGGCCGCAGACGAGCAGGACACCGCGAACTACTCGGTTTCACACCTCAGGCTCGGGAGGAGGAGGATGATGAGGAGGAGGAGGAGGAGGAAGAGGAGGAGGAGGAGGAGGAGGAGGAGGAGAAGGAGGAGGAGGAGAAGGAGGAGGAGGAGGAGGAGGCGGGGGAGGCGGGGGAGGGGGAGTGGGAGGGGTAGGGGGTTGAGGAGGAGGAGGTGGAGGAGGAAGAGGAGGAGGAGGGGAGGGTGGGAGGGAGGGAGGGATATCAGCGACACGCTGCCGTCAGGAACCCGTCAGTGTGCTACTCCTCAGTTCTTCAAGTCACTGTGATCCTTCAACAGCATAACACGCTGATGTTCTTTCCCACTGCGGTGTGTCATTGATACCCGTCGGTCGTTGAAGGTAGGTATTCCTTGGATTCCCAGATCCTTCAACAGTAACGCGCTGATGTACTCCCTACTGCGGCGTGTCGTTGGTACCCGTCGGTCGTTGAAAGTATAGATTCTGGGATCTCCAGATCCCAATTTACTTTGCGTGCCTTCATGGTTCAAGAGTGATATGGTCTTCCCTCTTCTCTCTTCCTCAGGGGGCGGGGGATACCCAATCCGCTTCCAGCGCCGTCCTACTTAATTGTTCTACTCACTTCATCTGGCCGACGGGCAATGTTGCTGCTCCCCACATGTGAGCGACGCCAGACAACGAAACACAGGGGTTCGTCTTCACCGACATTGGCGCCCTCGTCTCCGACGTGGCGTGCCGCTCTGGCGGCCCGCGCACGCCACCGCGTAAGGTTGCTATGCCACTCTCACATGGCCCGTTTCTTCTCGTCGCTCCGGGGTGTGATGTTTCTTCGGGGCATTCGTCGGGGGCCTCTTGGGAGCAGGTTCGGGGCCTCTCTTGGGAGCCTCTTGGGCGCTCTTTGGAGCTCTTGGGAGCCTCTTTGGACCTCCTTGGGAGCCTCTTTGGAGTTCCTGGAAGCCTCTTTCGAGCCTCCTGGGAGCCTCTTGGGAGCCTCTTTGGAGTTCTTTGGGAGCTCTTGGGGGTCTCGCTGTGGTCCCCCCGCAGGTGGCTCGCCGGCACTCGCTCGCTCTGCCCCGAGCCGAGCGTCGCGGAGGCGCCCGTCGGCCGCCCGGGCGACCCGCGCGCGGGGGTCCAGGCTCAAGCAGCGGCGAAGCGTCCCGGCTCGCCTGTAGGCCTACCGAAGAGCGTTCGAAGAATTTTTCGATGTTCTCCACTGCGACCTCGCCGATGCATCGCCGACGCGTCGCCGACGGCCTTGGCGATGCGGTACCATTCTCCGACCCCACCCCAGAGGGTTCCAAAGGGGGTTTTGTGGGGAGGGGGTTTTCCAGGAGAGGTCCCCAAGGGGCTTCGCACCCCCTGTTTTGACGAGGTTCCGAGGCCCCTGGGGGGCTCGCCTGTAGGCCTACCAAAGAAAGTTCTGAGAACCTTCTGTGGTCTGCAGAGTCTGCACGAGATGTTCACAGAGCATTTCTGGCTGGGGCTGTCCTGTTTTAACACCGCTGAGAACATTGTTTTTGTTATTAGAACACTTTTCGGGGCTCTGATAATATTTCGTGGTAGGCTTATAGGAATGCCGGGACTGTCGGTCCCTGATCAACAGGCCGCCGATCCGTCCGCCGCCGTGCGGGCGCAGGCGCATACGTGGGGCCACGGGCGGTGGATGCTGCAGCTGCTGCTCCTCCCCGGAGGGCGGGAAGATCCTGTCTAGGCTCAAGTCGGGCCTGTCCCTCTACATGGGGAACATTCAAAAATAGTCAAACATTACCCCAGTGCGACCCTACCTAGAAGTTGGAGCCCCTAGGAAAGCAGCATCCGTTGTTATGCTATGCTATGCTATGCCATGCTATGCTGCGCTATGCTAGGCTAGGCTAGGCTAGGCTATGCTATGCTATGCTATGCTATGCTGCGCTACGCTATGCTATGTTATGATGAGCTAATAATGCTATGCCATGCTGCGCTGTGCTATGCTAAACTATGTTATGATATGCTATTAGATGCTAAGCTGCGCTATGCTCTGGTCTGCTATGATATGCTATGCTATGCTGCGCTGTGCTGTGCTGTGCTGCGCTGCGCTGCGCTATGCTATGCTATGCTATGCTATGCTGCGCTATGCTATGCTATGCTGGACCATGCTATGATGTGCTGCGCTATGCTACGCTATGCTATGCTGTGTTCTGCTATGCTAAAGCCCAGCGAAGCTACGATGAAGGTCGGCTAAGCTAAAATAAACCTGAGCTAAGATGGAGCTAAGCTAAGCAAATATGAAATAAGCTAAGCTAAGATGAGATAAGCAACGCTAAGCTAAGGGGACGTAACTGGGGGAACCGCGGGGCGGATACTGGGGGATCCGCCCGGGGCGGTGTGCACTGCCCGGCCCCTTTAAGAAAGAGAGTAAGAACCCTCTAGGCAGAGCCTAGGTCGGGAAATAGTCTGAGGACTATTTGTTGCCAATTTTCGAGCATGTTTGGGGCATGGGTGGGGTATTTTCAATTTTCGTCCAAAATCCGCGTGTAGGGGGACATGGCCGACCTAATACTAGGCTCGAGGCCTCCTGGAGGGGGGCCCGAGCAGAGGGGGTCGGAGGAGCGCGCCGCACCGCCGATGCATCGACGACGTCGTCGGAACATCGCCGATGCATCGGCGGTGCATTGGTGATGCGGCGCCATCCTCCGACCCCATCTACTCGGACCCCATGTAGGAGGCCTCTAGATGCGGCCACCCGCAGAAGGGGATAGGGGGTAGGGGGAGGGAAGGGGACTTCTTCTGAGAAGCACCCCTGCCTCTTGGAAGGGGCGTGCCTGGCCAATACATGTAGGGCCAGCGCCTTCTAAGAAGCAGCCTCCTTCAAAGAAGCCTTCCCACCTCCCCCTTCCTCCTTGTGCGCGCCGCCAAAAGATCAGTCTCGTTGAGCGTATCCCAGAGGAGGAACCGATATCCATACCCTTACCCGTCGCCCGTTTTCCCTTTTTTCGGCACTCATCGCCACGGCTGGTTTCGCTTCGAAATTCTGGTCAGAACGCACCCCGGGAGAGGTCGGGGGAGTGGCGGTATCGGTACCTTTTGGTCTCCCCGGTAGCCCCATCCCCATTGGGCCATGGCATCTCAGCCCCACCGTCCAGCCCCCCAGGGCCCAGGGGAGCAGCCCGTATCCCCATCTGAGGGGGTACATCGCCAGTGGGGCCCAGCGCCGGAGTGCACATGGGAGAAGAACAGAAAAGGCACAAACTTGAGGTCCGCGCTGACTTCACGGGTCTGCGCTGGAATCCTCTGCTGGTGCCTCTGGCGCCGTCCCTTTCGCGACCCGCGCGGCAGGGAGGGGTTGCAGCGCAGATCCAGGAAGTTCACAATGCCCTCCGACTGTCAGTCGCGCCAATCGCGTATTCTTCTCCCCGCGCGTCCTTCCGGACGCTCGGCTCGGTGGAGGTCGTGGTGGTCTTTCTCTGGCCCGACGTCCGGCCACTCGCGAGCGGCCGTGATGTCGCCACGGCGCCCTGTGGAAAGCGGGGCGGATGCGGGCGCAGGTCGGCATCGTAGTATCAGGCGGCCCAGAGCCAGGGGGGGAGGAGCCTCGTTGCCCATCGGCAGCCTGGGCCGATCCGTTCTCGGATCCAGTGCTCCTGCTGAGAGACTGTGTTTGTTATCCCCTGGCGTGACCGGGGGATTGTGGAGGGGGGGAGGGGGCCAGTCCCGTCACGAATCGCGCTGGCGCCGTCTGAGAATAGTCAGGAACGGCTAATTCCCACTCGGCCCCGGCGCGAACAGTGGCGTGACCAAAGGGTGGGTGGCGGGGTGGTTGCCGGTCCAGTCGACGCTTGGGGATCCGACTCCATTCGCTGGAGTTCAGTATATCTTGCAGACTCCAATTCTGAGCCACGGCTAGTGTTTGAGAAATCTGGCTTGCAGGGTCAGGATTCACACGAGGCTACCTGTTTCGAACGGGGTCAGGGCGAGGATAAGTCTGCTCCAGAGCGTTGCGGAGCGCTCTCAGAGCCTTGTGAAACTCTCTGAGAAGGCCGCGGCGCCCGAGACATCCTCCAGAGCCGCCACCGGATCTCAGAGATCCTCGATTGATCCTCACCCGATGTCATCTTCGTCCTGGCTTCGTCTCACTCTGCCCTGCGTGACACGCTCTTCCCTCCCCGACACGCCCTGGGCGGCGCCCCAATGCCGGCGCGCGAGGCGCGCTGGGGAGGGGCCTTCGGGGAGACCGCCGGCCGCGGATGTCCGCAGCGTGCAGCCAAGACGCTGGGATGAGGACCACGGGAAGAGCTCCGGATCGGGCCGTGCCTCCGAGCTGGATCACCTAGCCTGTTCGTGGCAAAGCTCGCCGTTCCACATGCAGCGTTCCCTCTAGTGTAGCACGACGGCCGTGTGCCTGGTCTGGTCTTCCGCCCTCTCGCGCTCCGGGGGCAGCGCGACAGCCACAACTGCTGGGAGGCGGTGTACTGCAACGAGGACGTGTTCGCGTTCTTCGGCTGGCTGGAGCGGTGCCGGAACCGCGCGGGCGAGCACCTGCTGATCGCAGACTCCGAGAGAGCGGATGGCGGGACGCACCTGCGCCACGATTCTGCGCGAGCTGGGCCCTGATCCGTCGTGGCACTCGTCTCTCAAGGGGCCCTGGGACACACAAATAAATACACAAATAACAGAATCTCCAATCTTTTCCAATCTTTTCCGTATTATTGTCTTCCACCCATTTCCCATATTTTTCCTCATTTTCTGGGAAATCGACGATTAATAGTGTTTGTATGTTTTCTTCCCTCCTGAGTTTCCCCCTCCTTCTCGGGCCGTGCCTGCTGCGTCCCATCTCCTTCTCTGTCCCGCCCGCCCCCACATGCGCCCTTTTTCGGATGTTCTTGCGCACCCCCGCCGCTCTAATGTCAGCACACTTGATCGGTCTGCTGCGAGAGCTGCGAGCGAAACACTATTCTGTATAAGAGGCGATGTTTGTTGGGGCGTCCCCCAGTACACATCACTAAACCAAGTCCCACTAAACCCAGTTCTGCCAACGCCCGACCTCCCACGGCTGGTCTCCCGGTGGCTGGTGACAACCGCGTGGGGCTCGAAGCGTGCTGTGCGCGCCCACGAGGGGAGTTTGTACTCCCCTTCGCGGCAGCATCAAACAGTAGATTTTCACGTGTGAATTGCAGTAAAGACCTGGCACATCTGAGACGGTGGTTCCTTCCGTCTCAGACATGCTGTGGCGTTCGCAGGCTAATTATTTTCGTGCTCAGTCGTCGTCGTCGTCGTTCGTTCGTTCGTTCGTTCGTTCGTTCGTAGGCTAGTTTTTTGTGGTGCTCACCGTCGTCGTCGTCGTCGTCGTCGTCGTCGTCGTCGTCGTCGTCGTTCGCTAGTTCGTTCGTTCGTTCGTTCGTTCGTTCGTCGTCGTTGGCGCCGTCGAACAACGACGTCTGCGTTGACAAGCGCGAGACGTTGAAGGCGTCGTGTCCTCCCGGCCGGCCGCGTCGCCAGGACGGCTCCGACGTCGAGCTGGGCTGGAAGGCCTCGGCTGCAGCGTCCTGCTCTTCGTCGCGTCCCCCCTCTTGCCCTCTCCCTCTTCTCGTCCGCCCCCCCTTTTCCTCTCTGGCTGCCTCGACATCCTCCTGCTCCTCCCCCGCATCGCGACCCCCCCCTCCATGAAATCCTCCCTCCTCCCCGCCCCCCCCTTCGCCCTGGTTGCCTCTTCCCCTCTTCCGTTCCCTTCCCGCCATCTTGCCCCCGCTCCCACCTCCTTCCGCTTTTTCGTGCTGCTCCCTCGCCCCTCCTGTTGCTGCTGACCATCCCTCCCTGCTCCCCCCTGTTCTCGTTCCGCTCCAGTCTCTTCATCCCGCCTTCCGCCTACCCTCCTCGTGTCCCCCCGTGGTCCCGCCGCCCGCCCCTCGTCTTCTCCCGCACGGGCAGCCTCCGAAATCCACAGCAAATTCGAATGTCCCAGAAAAGCCAGCGACGAGGACGAGGGCGACGGCAGGTCGACGTCGTCGACGACGACGGCGTCGACGGCAGGTCGACGCCGACCCTGGCTCGGTCATGCCCCTGGACCTGCACCACGGCGGCGGCGCGCGCGTGATCCACTGCAGCCCGAGCCAGCTCGTGCTGCAGGCCAGCCCACCCCCTCGCGCCTGTGAGGGAGGGAGGACGGCCCTCAGATCCCGGCGCTCACAGGAATGCGAAGAGCTCTGGGTTCATTCGGGCGGGTGGTGCTGGGGGGTGACGAAAATGGGGCGTGCACGAAGTCCTTTGAAATCGAAAAGGGGGTTGCTTTGACTGCGCAGGTGGCGCTGCCGCTCGCTGAGGGGCCCGCTTTCCGCACATTGTTTTCCATCGACTCCCTGGCAGTTGGCCGTCGTGCTTTGTGATGTCTGCGCGTAGCGTGACATGTCTGTTGTAGTCTCTGGCGGTGAACAGCGTTACCGCCATACACATGCATCGCGAGTGCTGCCCGAACGAAACTTCATTTCTGCACGAGCACAGAATTGCGGTCGCATGCACACGAAATTATTCACGCGCGAACGCGACATTGATTCCGCACGAACGCGAAATCAGACGCGCACGAACACGAACTCAATCCCGCACGAACACGACGTGAGGCACGTATTGCTGCATCAACTCCAGCAAGACATGCGTCACGGAATGCTGCACGAACTTTTCCGCACGAAATCGTTGTGATAATGTTTGTGTCGGTTTCTGTTTTTTGGGGACGTTCGCAGGCGCGGCATGTTGCCCGCAAACGAGTCTGCGGAACCAATGTTTGAAACATTTTCATACAGCCATTTTTGGCGGCAACTCTGGGACCATTGCGCGCGGGCAATATAATGCGGGCAATTTCGCGCGGGCACTTTCGCGCCTCTGCGTCGATCCCCCGGCCGCCCTGTGGTTGTCGTGGGTCGCTGGTGGGTCGATCTTCGTTTGCCGCGGCGACGATGGTGACAGGGCACAGCGCTGCCAACGCTGATGATTGCAGTGCCGACGGTTCGTGTGCATGCGACGATGATGAGAAGGGATCGAGGTCCAACGCCCGCACCATTGAGCGGGATGCCAGGGGTGTCCACCCCGCCGTGCCGCAGATGATCCGTCACACGACATTCCGTGCCCAGTATGTCTCCAAGAGATCAGGCTCCGCCCGCCCAACTCACGTAACGGGAGTAAGCTGGGCGGGGCCAGGTGGTGTTTCTTCCTTCTCATTCCATGCCCTGAGTTCATGTTTTTGTTCGCTGCGTAGATTTCTGGAAATTTCGATCCTGGGGCGCAGGAGTCGCCCTTATCGAAGCGCTCCGGAACGGCCGCGGCTCCCGATGATGCATCTTCCAAAGCCGCCGGACCTCAGATATTCTCGAGTTGCCCTCGCTTGAGTTTGTTTCGGTCCTGGCTTCGCCTTGCTAAGCGCTGACGGTCGGGCAGTGCCAAGGGGGTCACTTTTAGAGGGGCCAGCTCCTTCTTCTGGAAATCGAGGATCGACGAGGAAGGAGGACCGAGGATCGAGGGGCAATCGGACGTTCTTGGGCGCCCCTCGGGGTCCTTGGTGATTCTGGGGTTCCACGGAGCTCTTGTGTCCTGCAGGAGGTGTCGCCCCCTCAGTGGTCAGCCAATCCCCTCTGGCCGACCCGGGTTTGGGAGCCACGCGGGGCCGATCACCCCTGCTCTCAGGAGGAGAAAAAACACACAGACCTAATTCATCGTCGATTCCCCTGAAAATATGGGGAAATATGGGCAGTGGGGGGGAAGACAGAACCCAGGAAATATGGGAAAGTATGGGGAATCCTTTTATCTGTGTGTATGTATTTCTGTGTGTGTCCCAGGGCCCCTTCATGCTCCTCTCTCCACCGATCCGGGCTTTCGAGCTACTTGGCGGCCTGCCCAGGTTCGCGGGCTTGCCTCAGCAAATCTGGGCTAGCGTGTTCCATGTGGGCAGCGGCTCCGCGGGGCAGGCGTGTGCACTGATGGGGCATTGCGGAGACCCGCCGCGCTTGTCTTTTTGTTCAAAGTGTCTGCCGTATTGCCCGTATCAAAGGGAGGATTGGGCTCATCCGCGTCGGGGAAGCGGTGAGAAGCGGCGGCGACCGTCTTGGGCGTTCAAGCTTGAATGCCGCTATTGGCTCTGGATCTGTATGTATTTATGTATGCATGCATGTATGTATGTATGTATGTACGTATATGTGTGCGTGTGCGTTTTGTAACATACATAGATGCACATACCAATTCGAGACGTTTTTAGTTTTGTCCCCCTCCTGTTTCTCTCGGCGAGGAACGAACTTGCCCCTCCTACTGCTCCTCGTTTTCTGCCTCCTCCTCCTCCTCCTCCTCCTCCTCCTCCTCCTCCTCCTCCTCCTCCCCCCCCTCCTCCTTTTGCTCCTTCTCCTCCTCCCGCTACTCCTCGCGTTCGTCATCGTAATTGTCGTCGTCGTCGTTGTTGCCGTCGTCGCGACGGAGATTATGTTCCCTTTCTTTTTTGGCCGGCTGGACAATGTTCCACTTTTTTCCACCAGGGAATAATCCATGTTGGGGGACCCTACACGCAAGAAGATGTGTGAGCATCTTCTCACGAGGATTGCAAAAGGAATCAGACGTTGTGTTGGTAGTCGTGGTTGCCATCGTGATAGTAATCGTGATTGTAGCCATGATCGTAATCGTATTCGTGGGCGTCGTTGTAGCTGCAATCGTAGTCGTAGTCGGTGTCGTCGTCACGGCGTGTATTATTTTCCCTCTAGGTGTGGGCGGGCTGGATAAGGTTGGGGGTTTGTTTCTCCTAGGGAAAGATGCTCCTGTTGCTACCCTGCACAACGAAAGGTTGCAATATAGATCGACATTATTCGCCGAAGGCGTTGCTCACAATCTCCTCTTTCATCCCGTCGTCGTCGTCGTTGTCGTGCGGCGGGTGCCGCGGAGAAACCTTCTGTTCCACGATCGGTGGGACCCCAGTCCATTAATAAGGTCGCCGGTCATATATTTTGTTTCCACTATTGGGTGGGGCTCGAAAGACCTAGGGGGCTATATGTACGCACTCAGACATGAACGCCGACGTCATCGCGGCGTGAATCCTTCGTATCGATACAGCGATCTAGTTGTTCACCGTTCTGGGCCCCGGGCCGTCAAAAGAGCATTAGTCCAGGAGGAAAGACGGGCCCCGGCTTGCCCCCCGGGGAAGAGACTGATCGAGGGTCCCAGGGGCCAGCGTCTCGAAAGAGTCGAGCGCACGGAGGTCTCGGGAGGCTTTGCTCCTGATGCTTTTATGTTGCTCCTGCTGATCTTCCTCCTTCCTTTCCTCCGCCTCATCCTCCTCCTCCTCCTCCTCCTCCTCCTCCTCCTCCTCCTCCTCCTCCTCCTGTGTCCCAATTATCATCCTAAGCCTCATCTCCCATTTGTGCTCATTCACTTCCTCCTCTTCCTCATCCATTGATTCCTTCTCATGCTGCCGATGTTGCTGTCCCTGCCCCTTGCCCGCTCCACCACGCTGCAGGTGCCTGAGCACCAAGCGCGTGACGCCCACGAGTGGCAGCACGTCACCGCCTCCCCGCACGTGCATGGATGCACCGCCCCTGGATCCGCCGCGGGACCAGGGGTGGGTGGGTAGGTGAGAAAGGTGTGAAGGAAATGGAGAGGGAGAGGGGATGAGGCGGTGAGAGTTACGGAGTTAAGGGTCTTGCTGTAAACCTTGAAGGAGTCGAGGGAAGAGAGGAAGGATCAGGAAGGCACGGAGGAGGGAGGGGGACACAATAATAGTACTAATAGTAATGATAGAGGGGCGCAGGCGGCAGAAGAGCAAGTGGTAGGAGATGCTAGCAGTTGCGGGGTAGGAAAAGGGTCCATTCCCTTGACTGCCCGATCTTTGCTTGGGCCGCCAGCCTCTGGAACCCGCAACCCCGTCCCCTTGGGTTTTTCCCTAAGCTGTTTTGTTGTCGGTGCCAGGTGATGGGGGAGATTGCTGTGGCCTGCCTGCTCACGGGATCTGCCCGACTCTAGTCAGAATTCTGTTCGACTCGAGCCCGATTCAAGTTCGACCTGTCTGCGGACGTCCGGCGCAGCACTGACGCAAGCGTGGAGCGAGTGGCTCCGGCTCCATGAAGGTTCCCAGAATCACCGAGCACGTTCCACTACTCGCAAAGTGCCTACTCGCAAACGTCCGAAATACATGTCGGCATCAATGTAATGTATCGTTAATTTCCCATGGCGGATCCAGGCCATTTGCTAGTAGTTCCTTTGCGAGCAGTGGGACGCGCTCGTCTACAGCACTAGCATCTAACCAGGGGCCAGGGGCCCAGAGACGGCCCTGCACGGAAGTGGCCCTCCAGAAGCCGAGAGAAGCAGCTCTCGAAGCGTCCCGGCTCGCCCATAGCCCTACCAAACAATGTTCTAAGAACCACTGTGCGGTTTCCACGACATGTTCTTAGAACATGTCTGGCGGAGTCTGTTTTGTTTTATCACATCGGGTTTATGTTCTCAGAACATTGTACCTGTTCTTGGAACATTTCCCGAGTTCTAAGAACATTTCGTGGTAGGAGTATAGGAATGCTGGGACGGTCAGTCCATGCTCAAAACACAGCAATGAGTTTTTTCCTGGTCGCCAAAAGGGCCGGACGGCTCGAGCTCGAGCGCCCCGCGCTCGAGCGCCCCGCGTCGGCGGCGCGAGGCGCTTCCCTCGGAGGGGCAAGACGTAATGATAACGATGCGTTGCAAGACTTCCAGTGCTCCAAGGGTTTCCAATATTTCTGCTGTCCAGTGCGGGCTCCAGAAGCGAGGGCCGATAGATACTCCGCAATTCCTGGAACGTGTATCTCCTGAGCCAACCGCGTCTTTCCCCCTCGCCGCAGAAGCCTGCCGCCTCCCCTTCCGAGCAAGGGAGGCCTGATGATTGGAGGGCCAGCCGAGGCGACGGCGATCCCGCCCAGATATGTTGGGGGCTGTCGTTTCTGGGCCACCTGGAGACTTCTCGTCGCCGCGGCTGGCTCCGCTTCCAGAAACCGGCCAGGATGGACCCCCGGGCGGGGTCTATCGACGGCGAGCCCAGGGGGGAAGTGGGACGGGGCGGGCCTTCTCGGAAGGCTCGGAAGCCTTCCGGGCCGTCTCAGAAGTGCTCGAATCCTTCCCCGACGAGACAGGAAACCTCTAAGACGGTGCGAGGGTTTCTGCGAAGTCCCGCTGCCATCTGAGAAGGCTTTCTCCTTCTCACTGCGCCCCCATCGCTCGCCGCCGAGTCTAGGGACGAATTTTCAACGGAGTCTGGCCAGGCGGGACAGCCGCCGTTGTCTCAATCGGCCCTCTTCCTGTACCTTTGCAAATAGTTGCAAAGGTAACGCAGCGTAAATCTTAGACACCCCCGCGTCGTGGCAAAATCACGACGGACAGTTCCTTGGCAGTTCTCAGTCTCTCTGGGCTCATGCAGCGTGGCATGTCAGCGACACAATTTGGCACGGACATGTGCCCCTAGGGAAGGCGTCCAGAGGTCCGGGGGTCCACGTTGTGAACAAATGGCGGCCCCGGGGGTGCGCCCCCCCAGATCTGTTGCGACGCGAACATCTCGTGCTTGTGACTTTTCACATTTTGCGGCGTCGGGCAGGCCCTTGCGGCCGCAGGGTCGTCAAACAGAATTAGCCAGCGTGGGCCCAAAACAGCATATTCTGACATACTATGTGGCGCAAGACATGTGGTACATGTAATGTTGTGCAGACTCCATTCAGCAATACACAAGCATATGATATGTGGTGCAATCTGTTTGGTGTAAACTAGGTGGTGCAATCTATGTGTTCCAAGCTATGTGGTGCAACATTTGTGGAGCAACCGATGTGGTGCCATCCATGTGGTGCGATATGCGCGGTGTAACTCAACCTGCCGAACTTGAAGTTGTCGGCTTCACTGCTCGCGCAATGATCCCACCCATCCTTCACCTGCAAGCTTGTTTGCAAAACCCATGCGGCGGCGATTGCGATGACTGCTTGGCGCTGGCTGGCGCATCGCTGCGGCCGTGCTAGCGCGCGCACGCTCGCGCGCAAAGTGGCCAGGTACTCTGGCGCGACCGACGCGGCCGCAGTTGCGCTGAACGCTGTGGATTTCTTTCGCAGGCCGCGCTGACGCGCGGGCACTTCCGTGCGAGTCGGTGAGTCGGGCGCGCGCGGTATCATGGCGACGTCGACACTGGCAGACACGATGATGATAGTAGTGCTGATGGTGACGATGATGGCATCGACGACAATACGGCCAATGACGGCGCCGATGCTGATCACGCCGATGGCGACGATGGTGTCCACGTGTCTGTGATGAAGGCTTTGGGAGGATATCGACATGCGCGCACGGCCGGCCGGCGCGAATGACCCGCGTGGTATTATTTGTCAGGGCCGTGCCCCCAGCACGCGCGCAAGGGCGTTCGAATGATTTATTCGATGAATATTCTGAAAAGCATATAGTTGTCGTAAGGGCGTGTGCAGCCAATTCAGAAAGAGAAACCTTGCGCGATCAGTTCTTCTTGTATCTAGTCTGTTTATTCGGCTTCCTGCATCCGCACGAAAACTATTATTTGTGAAGAGTGCCGGCATGTGCATGTGACGGCGCACCCGTGGTGATTTCGCCAGCACAAGTATCTTTGCAGTTTGACAAACGAGTGCGCGCGTATAGTATCATATATCCATTAGGCATGAGGGAAGGGGTCGGTAAGGTTTTGGCTGGGATGTAATGAAACCATATGGAAAATGAACCATGTGAACTGCACATCGCCAGGGGGGGAGTGGTAGTTCTGGGGGGGATGGAATATTCGTTTTCCTTTTTGAGAAAGGGGATTCTGTGTGGTGCTGGCTATGTGGCGCAATCGATTGGATTGCAATCGAGCGGCGACAGGACGGGGCGGCGACGGCGACAACATAGCCGCCAGACCGGCGGACAGGCCCACCCGACGGGCGGCGATGAGGCGGCGGTTGTGCGGCGACGGCGACGGCGACAACATAGCCGCCAGACAGGAGGTCAGGCCCAGACGACCGGCGGCGACGAGGCAGCGACGGCGACGACGGGGACAACATAGCCGCCAGACCGGCGGTCAGGCCCAGTTCTGTAGAACCGAAGTAAGAATTTTTAAGTGCAATCCTTGTCTGGAGGAGTACACGTGATGTAGAATCTGTCATGCGGATAGTGTCTAGAGGTCCAGGGGATGGCGATTACTTTCCTTCTCTCGCTTCTTTTCCGCTAGACCGAGCGTCATGTACGAATGTTTGTAGTGCATCAAAGCTCGGACAGCAACTGGCCACTTTTAAAATTACGTGGTCCCTTATTATGAAGAGAGGCGTTTGAGCAAGCAGTTACAAAGCCGATGGCAAGCTAAACACTCGAGCTGACACGGGTGAGCTGGAAGGGCCATCAAGAGGTTGTCCGAACCAATATTGTTGCAGGTATGCTCAAGGCAAGCAACAGTGGAAGTCCCGAGGGCTATGTATGGGCAGCGATATGCCCAAGGGCTGTTGTACACAGGCATCTAAAAAGCATGGTCACATCTAGTTGGCGTCTCTAGCGTGCCCTGAGATTGCTGTCAGTTTGCATTCAATTTGCATTTTAATGGCGTGCAGCTTCGTTGCAACGTGCCACGGTGTGCGAGCACCTAGCGTGCAGTTGCTTCATGCTAGCATGCGTTTAGCATGGTTTCGCAGACAAAAACAGCATTGTCTAGAATTTCTAAGCCCCGCACTGGCGGATATGAGGGAATGACTGTGGGGCTCGAGCACCAATGTAAAGACTCCCTCCGCGGGCGCCGATCCTTCTCCGAAGCACTGGGCCGATTGCTGACGCCGGTGTTGCACTATGCGGGCGGACCGCTCGACGGAGCGACGGCGGTGTCGCGAGGCTCGTAAGTCAATGCGTAGAAGCCCGCCGAGGGCGTCGCTCTGTCCCCATGTGCCACTTCTTGCGAAATTGGCACCCGTGCGGATTCTAGAAAACAAGATGTAGAAACTTGCCTCGCGCGCGCATCAACTGCACGTAAGAGTGACCCTTCGCCGGAGCGACCTTTGGTGCGGGCTTGCCAGGGTCCCCACGATGGCTGAGCGCGATGCGACAATGGCTGCTTGCACGATTGGATCTGGCCACCTTGCGCCCGTCTTTTATCTGCACACTAAGGGGAATCTTGCCTAGGGTCATTCTTGCGTGTAGCTGACTGGATTTAAAGGTTGACGGGAAGTGGTTGGCTCCTCGCAAGAGTTTGAGAAGGGTATGAATGGCAGAATTGATGTAGCCAAATTTGTTTCTTTCGTCGAAGCCATACAACAAATCAACGGTGTTTGTAGTAGATTCGACGAGGCAATACATGTTGCGGGTAAATCAATGTTGCAGTCGATCCATATTCGAAGCGGGAGTTTACTTCACCACGTTTTGCATTCCCCATCTGGCGTGGTCGCCCGTCAGCTCTGAGGTGCCTTTTCGGCAATTCTCTTGGCGGGTATTTCTTTCGCAAGCAGTGGCGTCCCACGTAGGTATAGGTTTCTTGCTGTCGGACTGACGCCTCCTCCTCCCTCCGTCCCCTCCCATAATCAGGCCCGCGCACTCTCTGACTCCGACTAACTTGGATGCATAGTCATTCAGACCTCCCACGCTCAGACTCACATACGTGCTCATTCATGCTTCACATTAGCTCATACTTAGAACAACTCATAGTCAGACTTCCTGACCCCCTTACGCAGGCATATTCTGATTTGGTCGTATTTCTGCTCATACTCACTCTGATCATCGCGATGCAGCGGGCACGGTTTGAAGAACCGTCTTGAGTCATGACACAGGCCCGTTCGTCCTCAGATTGTCGGGACCCCTCTGGCAGAATGGCCGTTCGGGGGGTGGTTCGTGGCCATCGCGTTGTAGCGGGCATTCCAGTTCGGCATCCCAAGGGTGAGCCGCCAGGAATCCGACCCAGCTTGGTTCGCGCCCAGATTGTTGGGACCTCTCACGCAGAATTGGCGCTTTGGGGGAGTAGACGTGTCTCGTTTCAAAGCCCGTGGTCGTCGCGATATCGCAGGCATGGCACTTGCGCATCCTGAGGGGGCAGACTGTACCTCGCAGCTCACTGGGGGGCCGCCAGCAGTGCAATTGTCGACACTTCCGTGGGCTCCTGGGAGGTCCAGGGGAGCGACGTCTTACGCACACTCTTCTCTCGGAGTGAGTCGTCCTCATCCTCCTTCCTCTGTTACTATCTACGCACTCTCCTACTCGTACCTCTTGCTCGTCGTTCTCCGGCTCAGTGGTCTTCTTCTTTACTCCAGTTATATCCTCCTCCCTTCTCCTTTCTCCTTCCTCTCCTTTCCCCCTCCCCCATCCTCCTCCTTCCCCCTCCTTCCCTCCTCCGTCCTTCTTCGCGCTGTTGTTCTATCCGCCATCACTGTTACACATCCTATCCAGCATTCATTCATGTGTCTTTTGTTGTGGACCTGTGATTGTCGCCAAGTGTTGCAAAGGGGTTGGGTACTAATCTCGTGGACTTGTTCGTTAATGTCGAAATCATGGCGGTCTCCTTGGGACGCTTCGTGGTCACGTTGAGCCGCCTCGGCGTGGTCTTGTGTGCACTCTCAGGGTCATAAGGGCAGTCATCTCGAGCCATACGATTGGGCGATCGTGAGCCATCTTGGAGGCCATCTTGAGCTATCCGCAGCCGTAATACGTGGAGCCATCTTGGTCGATCCAACCACTCGGCCCTCCCCCATCCAGACCCAGGGGACGGAATAGGGGGAATGTTGACGCCATCCCCGAAGGGGAAGAAGGAGTTTGGAAGAAGACACTCTTTCAGCCACCTACGCCCAGAGTGTTGGTGGCAGTATGCCCCCACACACCACCCCCAGCGCCATGTCTTTGGAGGCCTAAATAAATGTCGCCTCTTGGGTCTCATCTAGGGGCGCTCTTGGAGGCCTTTGGGGCCTTGTTGGAGCTTTTATTGGTCGCCTTAGGGGTATCTTGAACGATCTTGGAGCTACCTTGCTATACGGCGGCCTCAGGAGCCCATGGGAAGCAAAAAGGCGAGAAGGCACACATCATAGAACAATGAACAGTGTATGGTAGCAACTACATGGTGCGGGCGTCCTATGGATGCTCCAGGGCAACTCGGAGCCGCCTTGGGGTGATCTCGGGGCCTTTCGGACGCATGCTGGAGGCTATCCTGGATCACCTCGGGCTTTACTCTGCCGTCTTGGAGGCAATCTTCTGATCAGGGTCTGGGGCAATATTGTAACCGCACTGACCCGCAGTCCTTTTTGAGTCTTGGGCAGTGAACTCACATTTTTCTCCGTGAACACATGGGGTTGTATAATCAGTTTACCCCCGTCGAAGTCGGAAACTTCGAGTCTTGATGATCCCTTGGGACGCGATTTGGGCACTGCTGGACGCTCTCTGGGCCGTCCTGGGGTTCTTCTGGGCTCCTCTTGGATCTCTCATGGGCGATCCTGGGGACATCTGAGGCCTCAGATGCCCATGGAAGAGCAACACTTACTGAAAGGCCACCGTCTTTTGAATGGCACGTGCTTCTCGGGTTTGGAATCCCAGTGGTCAATTGGAGTGGTATTGTGACAGCCTTGGAGCTTCTTTGACACACTACTGAGCAGTATTGGGCTATGTTGTGCCATATATGAGGCAATATTGGGACATCTCGGGTCGCGTTGGTACCATGTCGGGAACGTGTGGACGTTCTAACCCATAGCGGTGGGAGCGTCGAACCATTCCCCGTATTGAAAATAACGTGGTTGGAAGTGGACGTGCCTTACACCACCTTCGCTTGTGAAGGATTGGTAGGATTTGCCTGATAATCGCTTTTGTCGGATTGCTTCCGGACTCTCGGTACATGCCGTTGTTCATGGTTTACACGTTTACCGTTGGTTTCTGCAAGTGTTTGCCCCCCCCGCTGGTGGGTCATCTGATTACTTCGGCGATTCCGAATCCGCGCCAATCAAGATTGAAATCGAGATCCAACTCATAATGTGCTGACAGCGCTCACGCATATCTCGTGCGGAATCCCAGCGGCGACGGCAACCCGCCCCCCACCCAGTTCGTCAGCAGACGACCTCCCCCCCGTATCCCGCTGGTTGGACGCCCCCCCCCCAGGTGGGGGGATCGCAGGGGAGCAATGGGTCGGGGAGGACAGATGAAGAGAAGTGGTGGAGGGAGGTGCGGAAAGAGGGAAAGAGGCACGGGGGTGCAGGGCAAGGCAGGGAAAGGAGAGGATGCAGCGCCGTGAGCTGAGGTCGCCACCTCGCGGACCGCGACATGTACCATAGAGTTGTGAAGGTGGACGACGTTCGCGGCTCAGCGTTGTTGGGGAGGAGGAGGTTGGGAATGACGACTATGGGGGATGCCGAGGAGGATTCGTGAGGACGAGGAGTCGGAGGACGAAGGCGAGGTGGACGAGGAGCAGGAACAGTGACAGCACGAGCAGCGAGCAGGGAGATGGGAATAGTGAGTCGGAGCAGGAGGGGCCTGCGGGAGGACGAGCATACGGAATAATGAGGAGAGAGGGTGAGGCTCGGTATCGTTTAACCAATCCCCATCCCCATCCCCATCCCCTTCGAGACCCCCACCAAATTACCCCCCCAGTTGGGGATACACCTCGAAGCCCGAAGGGAACGACCTATATCCCAATCTAGGGGGATAAACCGGCCAGTGGGGCCCAGGCCACGCCGCTGGGGATGGGGATCGGTTAAACGATACTCAGAGGCTGTTGCATGCATCGTTGCATCACGGTTATGTGGGCGCGACCTACGCTTCGATCGTTTCGGCAGGGCCCCGGAAACATGCATAACCTTGCCAATGATTGCGGATTTAGATCGTATCCTTATCTCCTGCCTCATTTTCTCGTTCCTGATTACCTTTGTCCTCCTCCCGCCTCCGGGTGAGGGTCTGCTGGTCACAAGCGATACTTATTGATGGTTGATCATTCTTTCTTGGTGTGGGTGGCAGTCGCTGACTATCCAGTGTTCTTTCGCACCTTGCACGTCGCGCGCATGCGCCGCTGGTTCGGGTGCGACTTCTGTAAACGCGCGCCTCTCTACACGTCCATGCCAACCTTGTCGTACCGTACGCTTCACAAGTTGATCCCGCATTCTTTTTTCGATGGTGCCTACACTCAGCCTGGTTGTGCTGATTCTGCCGGTTCTTACAGTCGGGCCGCTATTTCCCGGAGGAGGAGGGGAGGAGGACGAAGACGACGACGAGGTAGACAGCTCGTTGATCTCGAACAGACCATGCTAGAGCAAAGGTCCAGCCCATAGCGGATCATCCGGACAGACATCACACAGTGAGGTTGACGACGAAGGACATTTTTGCAATCGAGTAAGCGTTGTTTTTCTTTCTCCCTCCTGACTCCCCCGTTTCTGTTCATGCCTAACGCTCACTCATCGTCCTTATCATCTCCTTAATCCCAGCTGCTGCCGCTCGTGCTCCGCTTGCTCATTTTTTCTGGTTCTGGTAATTCTTCATATTTCTCCTCCTCCCTCCTCCAGTCGCCCGCCCCCCTTCTCCCTCATCCCCGTCATCCACCCTTTCCCTCATCCTCTTCGTCGTCGTCATCCTCCCATCATCGTCGCGCTCATGCGACCGCTGTGACCCATCACAAGGGAATGCAATACCTCACGTGTGCAGTGTTGGCTTGCGCAAGTATCGTGTGAACGCGCCAGGTGTTGCTGTTCAATATATGTGGCAGCGCAGCGCATGGAAACGATTCCACCAGAGCCCATTGGGATTCGAGATAGTCCAGGATGGTTGCAGGAGGCCGCAAGGGTGGCCCAAGAGGATCTCAATATGGGGCCACAAGGGTTCAATACAGGAGACGGCCCACAGGACCCCAAATACAGTCCCGAGATGGCCTACAGGAGCCCAAGAAAGCCCCGAGATAGCCGCGCGCGGCCCGGATCCTCCCGTCTCTCCCCTCCTCCCATCTCCTCCACCTTCCTTACGTCCCTCTCCTTTCTTGCTCCTGTTTTTCCCTCTCTCTCGTCCCTCATTCCTCCGCCCTGTGCCCTTCTCCCCTCGCCCCCGGCCATGGTGGGAGGCACAGGGCCAGGGGGAGCGGGAGCGGCAGCGGCCGCTCACACGTGGCGGCGCAGTGTGTGCCCATTACTCGTTGTTGCCAATCGCGTCTTCGGCAATAGGCTCGTCGGCCTCGAATCCCACGGTTTTCACTTGTTCTGCAGCGAGCCCTCTTCCGCGGCGTGCGCTGCGATCTCAGGCAGTTGTCGCTTGAGAGCGCGAAGTGCGCGCGGTTGTTCTGATGCGTGGTGTACACGCAGCACGTGGAAGAGTCGGGCCTGACATGCTTCAATGTGGGCTGAAACGCATCATAGGGTACCCAGTAACCACCGCACTACGCATATACATTGCTTCTACTCATCCACACATAACGAGCGATGCGGCATTCGTTGTCCAAAATCCTTCTGTCACAGCTACGGAGGTCCTTGGTGGACGTTCCTGAACATATGCGTGGGCCCTCGGATGAGCCATCAAACATGTGTCATGTCCTGTTCAGCTGGTACCTGTCAAATTTAGTATGCAAGAGTCGTTTGGTGCTTAATGTTTTTCTGGTTCGTGGTCAAACGCGAAATCGCACACTTTACCAGGGCCGGGGGCGGGGCACCAGTTTGGGGGGAGGGGTAGGTTTACGCATATGAATACGCATGTGAAGTAGCATAGCATTTTTCACGAATATCAGCATATGTTGTAGCGCATTAGTTTTATTCATTGCATTCGACCCAGTTTTAGATGCACATACGTACATGTTATACTCAGTTGCAGGAGGGCGGAATACGCAGTCCACACAAATCTATCTGACATATCTAACTATACTTGTTTCTACATTGATATGTGCATATATACATTCACTAGTGGCGTTCGGCCGAAAACGTCATCGTGCCTGGGTTGTGGGTTAGAGGCCTCTTGGATTTTCGTTTGGATATCCTGGGGGGCCTCTCGTGGGCCTTTGGAGACAATTTTGAGGCCTCTTGGGGGCCTTTTGGGGCGTCTTTTTGAGGCTCTTGCGGACCTCGTGGGACCTCTGGGGGGGGCCTCTTGGGCTCTCTTGGTGGCCTCCTGGGGCGGAAGGCTCGACTTGTCGGTTCGTGTTCCCCCTCTTTGGCCACTCTTGGGGCCGTCTTGGGGCCCTCTTTGGCGATCTTGGGCGCCTCTTGGGCAGTTTTGGGGCCGTCGTGGACCGTGTTGGGGCCTTTTTGGGCGCCTCTTTGGGCCATCTTGGGGCGGTCTTGGGGGAGCCTCTGGGGCCATCTTAGAGCGTCGGAAGTCCGAAAACGTGATGCCGTGACAAACGCTGAACAACAGATGGAACATCGATGGTTTTGCCTCTTTTTGGTCCTCTTGGGGCTCCTCTTGGAGCGCTCTTGGGAATTCTTTGGGGCCTCTTGGGCGTCTTGGAGCGCTCTTGGGCTGTCTTGGAGGCCTCTTGGATTCTCTTGGGCGCTTTCTGGCAGCCTCTGGGCCCCTGCCCTCTGGAAAGGGCATTCGAGGCAGGCCAGGGGCGCGCGGGAGCGTCCAGGAAATTTAGGAATCTGGGGCACCAGCGCCTAGAATACTGGAGTCCCCCAAGCCTGAGCACAGCGAACAGAGGACACACGAGAGTTTGGGCGGTAACTCCACCTCGTGCCTCGAGTCACCGTGGCGGATGTACTGAAGGTGCATGGGGCAATTCTGATCTACGACGCATGTTGCCGCGTGCATCCGTTTTTTGTTGCGTCCAGTCAGTAATAATTTGGTCATCCGTCCGCGTGTAGCCCCCAGTGCGAGAATGTCGCGCAGTGGCGATTCCGAATGTAATAAGCAAGAATGCGTGTCCCTAAGTGCAGGGTTTCCGCCAGTGAACAGTTTGGAATTTTGATTGCGACGGCTTTACGGCTGGTGCCGCCGACCCTGAAGTAGGACGATGACGGCAACCGCGGCGGCGGCGGCGATGGGAGAAAGGTCACAATGTTTTCTCGGTCAGTGTAAAAAATCTTCCAGGAAAATTTTGCGTCCAAAAAACTCTTTCCCGCACCCTCCGTGTGGAACATCCTCGAAACAATTCAAATGGAGGACTGGTTGGTTGGTGGGCTGGCTGGCTGGTTGGCTCACCGGTTTCCGGATACTTTCTCAAATTTTCCAGAACCAGCTGCGTGGGGCGTCGTCCGAACTTTTGTTGGGGGGGATTGCTCGGTTCGTGGGTTGTTTGGTAGGACTGGTTGGCTCGTCAGACTCTGGGTCAAAAATTTGTGTTCCCAGGTTGGTTGGTTGGTTGGTTGATCGGCGGTTGGTTGGTAGGTCTGTTGGTGGATTGGTTGTTGATTGCTTAGGTGGTTGGTTGGTTGGTTGGTTTGTTGGTTGTGGGGTTGATTGGCTGGTTGGCTCACCGGTTGGCTCACCGGTCTCCAGGTCAATTTTTTGTCCGAGGCGATGCGGTGGTTGATTGTTTAATTGGTTGGTTGGTTGGTTGGTTGGTTGGTTGGTTGGGCGGTTGGTTCGTTTGGTTGGCCAGTTGGTTAGCCGGTGGTTGGTCGGTTGGTTGGTTGGCTGGGTGGCTGGGTGGCTGGTTGCCCGCCTGTCCGGGTGGTTGGCCGGTTCTCCCCTCCACTCCCTCTCCCTTCTTCCCCCTTCCTCCCTCCTCACTCCTCCTCCTCATCCCCCTCCTCTCTGTACCTTCCTCCCTTCTGTTCCCTCCCTGTCCTCCTCCTCCCGCTCGCAGTTTCTTTCAATGTCAAGCAAAGCAATGTATTGCAATTGCAATGCGAATGCAACGCAGTGCAATGCAATGCAATGGAATAGGATGCAACGCAACGCAACGCAACGCAATGCAAATGCAACGCAATGCAATGCATGCAATGCAATGCAACGCAACAGGACGCAATGTAAAACAATGCAGCGCAACGCAATCTCGCGCACTGCAATGCAATGCACTGTAACGGGGCCGAACAATCGTACCTTCCACTCCACTCGCCACGTGGCAACGCCTTGGCGGGCGACAAAATACTACTCCACGATATTCGTCACGTGGCAGAGCTGCGGGACAGAAACATACCATTGCACTAATCGCCAAGTGGCTCCGCCTGAGGGGGCGAGCAAAAATGATACCAGTCCACGACGTCACGGGGCAACGCCGCTGGGGGCCCAACAAAAATACTCGCCCACTCCACTTGCCACGTGGCAACGCCTGGAGGCGCGAAGAAACAGTATTCCATCCACTCTACCCTGCCACGTGGCAGCGCCGCGGGGGCCAGAACCAAAAGCACGGTTCCACTCCACTCGTCACGTGGCAACGCCGCGGGGACCGAATGTCCGAATGTCACTCCACACGCCCCATGGCAAGGCCTGTGGGCGCGAGGAAATCGCATTCCAGTCTAGTCGTCACGTGGCAGCGCCGTGAGGGCCGAGCCAAAACATTATGCCCTCACGACGGCGATGACGAGGGCCAGGGAGGCGAACGACAATTCTATGTTATCCTCCTCCCCGTCCTTCTCTCTCCACCTTTCCTCCCTCCATGCTCCCTACTCCTGTCTTTTTTCCCCTTCCTCCCTCCTCCCCCTCCCCTCCTCCCCCCCTCCTCACTCTGCCTCCTTCCTTCTCCCTGTGTTCCTCCCTTCTCCTCCCTCCTGTCGTCCCTCTCGCCCGCAAATCACTGCAATGCAACGTACTGCACATGCAATGCAACTGCAACACAGTGCTACGCAATGCAACGCAACAGGATCGCTTGTTGGTCACTTTGTTTGTTGGCTGACGGCTGGTTGGTTGGTAGGTTGGTTGGTTGGTCGCCTCGTGGCAGCACCACTTTACGCGTGACGTGACAGCGCAACGGGGGCCACTCAAACTAGCATTCCACCATTCGCCACGTGGCAACGCCCTTTGGCAGCCGACAAAGTACCAATCCACTATTCGTCACGTGGCAACGCCGCTGGGGCCCAACCAACATACTAAGCCACTCCACGCGCCACATGGTAACGCCGCTGGGGGCGCGAGGAAACAGTATTCCATCCACTCTATTTGTCACGTGGCAGCCCAGCGGGGGCTGGAACAAAACACGTAGTTCCACTCGATTCGTCATGTGGTAACCTTGCGGGGGTCGACCAAAACGACTATGCCACTTCACTCGCAGCGTGGCAGCGCCTGGACGCGCGAAGAAACACTATTCCGTTCTAGTCGTCACGTGGCAGTTCCGTGGGCGCCGAACAAAAACATCATGCCACGACGACAACGAGACCGACGACGAAGATGACGACAATGACGAGGGCCAGGGATGCGAACAACAATTTTATTTCATCATCCTCGTCATTATTCCTTTCC